GGACCTCTCCGGAAGGTAGTAAGAGGTGGGGTATCTTGTCAACGGCAATTGGGCAGAAATGGTGCAGAAAGCAATCAATTAAGACGCTGGTGAGGTATTAAAAGCACAGTAGGGTAATTGATCTCGAGGCCTGAAGCGAATGCAAGAGGCAGAATGAAGAAGAAGGAAATTTTCTGGAGGAACAAAGATTTATAGCTGCAGAAGGAATGCGGGACAGCCAACCCTCTAGCCAACGTGGGTGGCAGATTCCTGCCATGAATGAATGATGGAGGGGTACTCTGGGCCTTTGTCACTGTACTTTTTCTCTCCCACTTAGCATACGAATTGGGTTTAGCTCCGATAACTCTTATGCCATCAGTAACCTCACTCTTGTCCAGACCTCAACAACGACGATCCTCCTCAGGAAAATCCCAATGTTTACCTTTTCTCATTGAAAAATTCTTCTCTGATGCAGGTACCGCTTCAAACAGTCAGATGACTCTCCCATTCCGACTCGTATATGCGCGGGTTCGGGAGTGAAAGAAACTTAACCAAGCGCGGCCGTCCCGCATTTTCTTCCCGCATCAAAAGCAATTGTTTCAACAATCACACGATGACTTCGAAAATCACAAGATTGGACATCAGGGCTAATGGTGGATGATTTGTCTGTCTCTGCATCTACCATAATCATATGCATCTAGCATCTAGAACTCGCAAGGCTAGCTGCACGTTATGCGTAAACCCCCCCCCCCCCTCACCGCCGTATGGATAACTTGCCACGACAACTCTCGACTGGTGAGGAAGAATGCAAAAGCTAAAAAAGTAAATTCTCACATGGCGCCTGCTTCAAAACTAAGTCTATAGAGGAAACTACAAGCTTTGATGCACAGCGGAAGGGATACCACATGAGGCCCTTAGGTTATTTCTGATCGAACAACACATCAACTAATGGATAATGGCGTCTGTCCCTGCTTTAATGCAAAATGATACTGTACCTAGGTTTGCTATCTCCACACTTCCCCAGACGTTCCAACAGATCATGACATCGCCATTTAGTAAAAGCTCAGTAGACTTAAGATGTGGAGTAGTATAAAACACGATTCCTCCTCTATCACCTGGATCTTTTTCAGCCATTATCTCCTCTCTTGACAACTCTTTACACTTCTCTTTTATATACACTTGCTATACATTTCCAGCGCAACCCTGAATTGGAGTCTCTATTGCCCTTTCAAAATGCATGCTTTAGAGCCTTCATACAACTTTTCGATTTTCTTACAATTTAATCGTTATATCCACCAGAGTCAGTCCTTCTAAGAACAGATTTACAGTACCCAAAGGGTGCCTCGACAGCGGAAATAATACTTTTTTTTAACACATACTGGTATCCTATCATATGCGGCTGGTTTGTGAGATTTCATTATCCTACATATGCCGAAGAAATAGTGCATAGTAAGCTATAATAGCCCGATAATAAAAAGGTCAATTTTGAATCCTTGCTCGGTTTTACAACGTGCAAGTCATTCTCATGAAGTCTGTATGAATTTTATCATATCAACTACCTATTCATTTGCTCTATCAAACCCGTTGTAGAGACTTTCTTCTATTTGTTCGAAGATGAACTTCGTCGACTCTAACGGCAAGTCCAAAATTTCAAAGTCCAAGACCGTTTACTTTTCGTCTCCCGTCTAGTATGGACCAAACAAACTTGACCTCCCAAGCTTGACTCCTGAAAGTGGAGTATCGTATGACGCCAGGTTGCGCCTCAAATAAACCACAATGTATGACAACTGCGAAGCATTCTGCTTTCAAGCAGATATAACTCTTCTAATTTCTCTATTCGATCAAGCCTTCGTCCATTTAAACCCAGCAGTCAGCACCCTTGCGAGGACGAAGAATGCTGACCCAATCGCACAACTCACGCCAGCATACACTATGGCCCACTTAAGCGAGCCATTGCTATCGCTGATGATTTCACCACTGATGGGGGATCCGCTAAGCGCGGCGAAGGATGCAAGGGCAAAAATGGCACCCGAACGCACACCAATATCCTTGACGGGGGATATCTGAGCACATAGCACGGGAGTGAGTCCAATACCAGCACCCGAGCCAATGCCGAAAAAGACGGCGAAGAGGATGATAGGGACGTTGCCCGTTGCTGGGAGCCAGAGACCGAGAATGAGGACGCTAGTAAAGAAGGCCATGACAATCATAGTGTTGAAGCGGCCGACTTTGTCGGCAATGACGTTAGGTACAGTTCGGCCGATGATACTTGCACCGTTGAGGATTGTGACTAGGTATTGTGCCATTGACGTGGACATACCGTGTTTGCGCGCGTGGACGACGATGAAGGTGAGAGGTGTAAACATACCCCCTGTGAGAGTTAGCATACTGACACATTTTCGCTTTGGGTTCATTCTTTCTGGGAAACTTACAAAAGAAGAAGAAAACGGCGAGAGTCAATGTCAAGAAAACAGGTTCTCTAAGAGGACGGAGAAAGGCCATCACGGAAAACGGTCTTCTTGTAGGTGGAATTCGAGATGTCACGGTGAAATTGGCGAATATGAGCATGCCTAGGATAAGAAAAGCGCATATACGCATCGTCCATCCGAAGCCAACTTTTGGCAAGAGGTTGATAACCATAATAGGAAATATAACGCCTCCGAGTGAGGAGCCAGCAGCAACGAGACCCATAGCAGCACCTCGCTTATGGAAGAACCAGGTCCCCACACATGCGAATCCTGGATAGAAGGCCATCGAGGCGCCAATAGCGGAGCATACTGCTTGAGCAAGGAGGAATTGGTAGTACTCTTTGCAGATACTGGTCATCATTAATCCGAAAACGTGGAGAAAACTTCCAACAATGAGGATGTAACGAGGTCCATAATCGTCGAATATCTTGCCTACGAATGGTCCGCCAAATAGCATGAAGAATACTACAACATGTTAGCACCGGATCTCCATATGCTATCATCGATATCTGGAGTATCTTACCTTGTAGAGACGGGATCCACGCAATTTGAGACTCGGTGTATTCTTTCAATTGATGTGTTTGATAGTATTCCTGAAAGAGACCGACACAATTTATCCACCCGAAAGAGACAAAGAGGAGAGCAGAACTGCCCGCAACTGCTGTCCACGCTTGTCTTCCGCCGTCTGGGAATGAACTGGGATCCATGAAGTTGAGGGCCGGTGGTGCAATCGCTTTCTCTGGATCGTGGCCATTGCCGCTTAGTGACTGCTCCTTGATTGATCCTAACTGGTCTTGTGATACTGCTGTGGATTTTTCTGGGATTTTATCCGCGCTATTTTCGCTGATGGATGTTCTTGGGGTGTCTGTTCCCACACCTAATGTTCTCTCGGAATTGGGAGGTAAGTCGTTCTCCTTCCGCTGGGAGGGTGATGACTCGGATAGTGCCATGGTATTGTGGTATTAGGATAGAGCTATTAATGAAAGAAAATGAAAACACGGGGTTTTACGGGAGTATTTTGTTGTCTCGAATAGGTCTATCACAGAGAATAAGGATAATGGTATCAAGAGGTTGACATTAAAGGATGCAGATGCTAATGATAAAGTAGGAAGACAAGGGATGGAGAGAAATTATGAGATGTGAAGAGATTGATGAGGCCTCGAAGAAAAGACAATGGCACTCCTTAAAATACTGCTATCTAATCTGATAACACCGATGACTCAAAGGCGTAATCCAAAAAGAACTCGCAAACCGAAACCGAGCCTCTCAACAGCTAAAAATTCAAAGATGCGAACCAGGATAAAAGGTGATATTGCAAGATCTTTGCTGTTGTTCGCGCGTAAGGGCGCAACTTAAGGCCGACCAGCTCCTCGGCCTTCGCACTCTGAAATCACCGATACTCTGCTGGGACCACCCTTTCCCGCTTTGAGGAAAGCTTGCACGTTTAAGCATATCTTAACACGCTTAAGAATCCCCAGCATCCTTCGATGACAATGGAAGGGGCGGCGGCGCGGTGTTTAGCTTTATCCATACGGATAGATATTCAACCGTTTTGTTATTCAATCTTACCATGCCGTGAAGTATAGGAGGTATATCAAGTGCATGGTAAGAATTTGCTTCAAAAGAAAATAGTATGAACATCTCGTACTGCGTGTTGCTATGGGTTGTCCCTTGCGTTATACATGTTCAATATCAACGCCAGCGTTCCTATTTAATCACTTTGACAAGAAAACCGTGAAACCCGATACCTTGCCAGTCTGTCATTTTCAGAGATGAATGCAGAATCTCCAGACCGGAATACGTACCGCGTTTGGGAATACCACACGTAATTCTACTTAAAGGCTGCTCATTCCGCATGAGTCCATTACTCCAACCTCTGGTTATCGCCGACTCTCGTTAACACTTTAGCTGGTCCACCGTCCACCATGATGCTTACATGCAGATGACTCACCCTTCCAACTCGCATCCTCCCTGCCATATTCTCGACTTCATGTGATTCTAACGAACGCGATTGCCATATTTTGCAGTCCCGCTTATTCCCAATTACCAGAAAGGGAAATCCATCTTCTCATGTCCTATACACCAGTCTGGACTCTAGACCTTTATGTCCGCTAACTGATGACTTTTCTTTGATGGAGTTTACATGGGGTTAAGAATGGTATCCGATTGTTCTCTATACATATATTATATTTTCACAGCTATGCGGTTCCTTAAGCAGTTACGGCATCATTCGTTATATGGATTCGGAGCGTGCGTACGTACGCGACGGGCGATGTGCGCGATTTCAACTTGTAGTTTGGTTGTATTGTACTGTACTGTACGAAGTCAGAATCTTCACAGTCGTACAGTACAGCTACAGTAGCAAAGTAGAAATATAGTTCCTATAAACGTGCACAGTATCTGTACCTATGCTCGTGTCCAGCACGTGCGGCGCCACGCATTCGGGCTTGTGTCCCTAAACCCCCCTAGGCAATGATTTTCTGCGACGCTAGCAGCATAACACAAAATCTTTGAAACTTAATAATTTGATCATTGTAACCTGATTTCTTGTTCCTGTCCTTAGTCTAGTTGGTTCATGGCGTCCGGCTGTAAAGGAAAGTCGCTCCGGTTACCGGAAGGTCCCCAGTTCGATTCTGGGAGGACAGAGCAAATCTTTTTTTTTGGATTTTGAGGGGACTTTTTCTCTTT